TCCCATCCCACTGCCCTCCCAGTAAGGCACAAGTATGGGATTCAATCTCTCTCTCACGAATTGTTCCCAAGAAATATGCCCTCCTTCAGTGTAGTACAAACCCTACCTTGGTTGAGGTAGGTCAGGGTTTCTTCGTGCAGTTTCACAGCAGGTGACGTGGCTGTGCAGAGGACGTACTGAAAGGGAGGCAGCTTGGCATCATTCTCAGGAGACAGCTGCGGTTCTTCCTGCTTGAAGATCGGCAGTGCAAGGACATCTCTGCAACATACAGTTCACACACCTTTAGTTACAACGACTTCACGGAATATTCTTACCTCAATCTGCATTTGATTCTCATGCTCCCAGATAATGGAGATCTCTGGAGAAACACCGAGTTATGACAGCTAAAAACAGAAAGAATTTGGCCTGTATAATGTAACAAGGCAACTTCTGCCTCTAGGATGTCAGCGCTAGACACAGAAGAACACAGCATTAGCAAAATAGAATATTTCTGAGAATTAATTTGTTTTTAAAACATAAATCAGATTTACTTTTCAGTTAAGCAGTCTTCCTGATGAGGAAAAAAATTATCAAAAATCGATTCTTCATCCTTGTGGAAATACATTTGTTTAGGAGTTCTTGGGTTCTCAGACAAAAGCCTTTCAGAAAAAAAAAAAAGGCAAGAAAGGGCACTTTATTTTCACAGCTGAATGCCAAATTAGTAAAACATCTGCAAGTAGCAGCCAAGGGTGAGAGGCAGACACAGCTGCGGTGTAAAAAGGAGACATTCAGGTAAATGACAGCATGAACTGCTGGATTAATTGACTCATAACATCTCCTTGCACTCTAATAAACCTGGTCCCAAGGAATCACATAGCTCTTAAAAAAGAGCATGGGGCTACCTTCATAAATGCACACTCAGGTGCTCAGGAGCAGCTTCACTAGGTCCTGTGCACAGTCCCAGTTCTGGCTGCTTTACAAGATGTTCATGCTGACCTGCCTGTTGATTTAGTGTCAGATTGATCCCAACCCACACTAATCCCCAAGCAGAACGGGTATTAACAAGGCTGAGAGCACAACAGAATGATCGGTTCAAAATGAGATGTCAGGAATAAGCATCCTTATCTTAGCATGTCTGATACTGAAGAACTGCATTACCCTTCCTCGTGTCGCTAACATTTCTGATCATTGTGTCCACCTACTTAAGACATTATCCTTCCAAATTAGGAGGATTATGTGGAACGCAGAGACAGTTCAGAATAAGAAGTGATTATTTTTTTTCTCCTCCATTTCCTCCAGCTGTGTGAAGACTTGAGATTCCCATTACAGAGGCTGCAGTTCTGCTCCTCTCAGTAATCCCATACACAAAAAGCTTTTAGAAAAACTGTTCAGGAACACGCCAGCGTGTACAGGCACGCTCCCTACAGAAAGACCATTAACAATTTTTTTCCTTGCCTGTTCAGTTAATCATCCACCCTGCGTTCATTCATAGCACCCACAACCTTGAAGGCTACCTAGGTCATCAGTGAAACGGTGTAGCAGTTTATAGTAAACCGCTGAAGTACCCAGTTCAAACACAGGTACTCCTATTTGTGGCAAAATAAAGCCGGAAAGCAAGCTGCGCCACTTCAGATACAGACGGGAGAAAAGAAACACCCATCTCTGTTTCCATTCTCTCTTCCAACCCCACCCCCACCATATTATCACCAACTCGAAGGCATCCAGCCCCATTTGCTAACTGGCATTACTGACATAATCACAGCTCTTGCCTAACTGCAGCCATAGAGAGGATTTTTTTTTTTTTCCTTAGTGGTGATGATTTACTACAGTAATGAAGTGACAGAAATGCCTGCACTAGATTTCTGAAATAGATAGCATTGCTCCACACACACGCAGGATCTGATACGGCTCCACAGAGTCATCTCACTCACCCCGGATGCCAACATTTGCTCTTAACGCACTCGTCTGCACAATGCTATTGGAATGCGTGCTGCTTTACAGATGAGAACAGATCAAAAACTCTGAAGCCTGAAAGCTTCTGCAGTTCTGCAAAAAAAAAACACAACAGCGCACAAAATCTGGCCCAGGTTTAACAGTTAAGGGTGAGGAAATTGTACACCTATTCAGCTGAAACAGTTGAGAAATTTAGGCAAGGGGAAGTCAAAATTCAAATATCGTATTTCACATCAGGCTCTTAACACCCCTACACTTGCTGGAACAGCTGTCTGATCACTGAAGACTGTAAGCATGGAGGAATCCATGATTTAGTTTCTGGAAAGCTTCGCCATATTAAAGATGAAGCCACACAAGTCATTCCTGTAGCATTTGAACTAATGGCCAGTGGTACCCGTGGCTTTGGATGAAGCTCTTCTAAAATATTTCACCTTATTAGAAGTGTTTGGCACTTAGAAGGTTGTGAACAACTGATCAACGCTTAAAAGAATTTCTAAGCTACAGGTATATAAGACATCACAATATTTGTTCAACTCCCTTCACTCAGGAGTTGCAAATCAAGTTTTGGAAAAAGCAGGCTTTTAAAACAGTTCCCATCCTTAAAAAAAAAAAAAAAGTGGAAACCCTTAAAACTCTCCCAAGTTTCACCTTACACTAAAGCTTTACAGTTCTGGTCTTAACCAAGAGTTAGTCCACTTACTGGGAAGGGAGAAAGTTATCTGAGACAGTTCAGCCATCTGGCAGAACAGAGAATGAAATACATACAGGGTTTCCATAAAAATGAATGAAGATTTATGAGGATTTTTCTGTAGTATTGTCTTGCTATAACTACAAATACCACTGAGGTATGGCAGAATTTATACAGATGTCTCAGATATGCACAAAGCCTTTGATCTCTGCAAACTGTAATTGATACAAACTTTTCCTACAGCTACTTCAAGGATTGTAGTATTTCAGCTTCCTCCGCAAAGTCGCTACAAGTGGGTATGGAGAGCCTTCAGAAAGGCACAGCTCAGCAGAAGAATGCCCCTCTAGAAATGCATGTCTTGACACATTCCCATGGAGAGTAAATTGGCCAGAATTAGAGGTCCCTACAAAAAACAAGGGTTTTATTCAACTGACCTTCCCTGAAACACCTGAGGCCATTGCTGCCATAAAACTGGTTTTAGAGCTTTTAGTCCCAGATCAAAAACACCACGGTCACAGTGGCAGATACTCACTAAAGCTGAAGTTTGTTCCTAAAACACTGACAGGTTACCTTCATACTAGCAGCCTTCCTGCCAGATCAGGTATCCTTTATCCCCTCAGCTAGCATTCAAGTCAGGAGAAATAATCTAATACGTTTTCTGGCCAATTCCAAGGAATTTGAATTGTGGGCTCGAGCCTGATCCAGACTTGATGATCTTGTAGCACTCCAGTGCTACAAATCCACAGTGTTAATGAAGCAACCTGAGCACTGTAAATGCTCTCTAAAGCAAAGACCGTACGCACAAGTACCAATGTTGAGGCTCATCTGCCTTCTCACCGTCCTCAACTAATCAGGTTTGCAAGCACAAAGCAAGAGAGAACAAGACTTCTGCCACATACATGTTGTTAAAATAGACTTTCTGGGATAGAGGAAGGACGTAAAGCACCTTGTATGAAGAAACAGGGAAGCTGCCAGAAAGCAAGAATCTCACGGTATTGTATCGTTTGATAATGGGAAATTATTATTCAGTCAAAAAAATCCCTTTGCAAATACACCGTTAGGGAGCAGGAATAGTTAAGATTGTGTATCTCCTTGAAAGGGAAGTATTATCTGTGTTAGAAGCGTTTCGCTGGACAAACTCTATGTTCTCTCAACAGTGGGTATTTGGGGTACATTTTGAAAGCAAGGCTCTTGAGCCACAGCCAGGTTCTCCACTGCTGCAATTCAGCAAAATGGCACTTCAGTGGAGCAGCAGCAATTGACACCAGCTGAGAACTCAGCTTTACATATTCAGAAAAAAAATAAAATTCATAAGCACCCAGCAGAAAGGAAACTCCCAAAGTTGCCTGCTTTGTTGTCTTTTGGAGGGAGGAAATACGGGTTTGTGCTACACATGTTACAGACTATTGTTTAGCAGCCCTTGTGCTTAAATTAGGCACATTTAATTAAACGCGACTGTGCAGAGGCAGGAAAAAGCTGGTTTAGACAAGTTCAGAAAGTGAAATTCGGAGCTTTTCACCCATCGTCCCGAAAAGAAGAGAAAAAAATCCCTTCCTGAGAAAACTGGATGCCGTCTTAGTTTGCCAGCAGACGTTTTCCAGAGACTTTTGACAGCGCTCCGCAACTGTCGCACTTTTCCCTTTGAACTGCACTACCTAAGCCCCTGAGAAGCGGGAAGCCGGCGAAAGCCATAAAGCAAACCTGCCGGCAGTTGTCTAACCAGGCGCTAAAAAGAAGGGAAAAAGAAAAAAGAAGAGCCCGCACTCCTCAGAAAGAGTTCTTTTCCGGGCACACCGGGCTCCCCGACGTGGGGACCGGGCGATGCCGCGGCC